TCTTAAACATTGCCTGGACATCGTTAGACTTTTTAAAAAAGATTAGAAAACTAACAGTCTAATCCTTTATTAATGCTTTGTTCTTTATTCACAATTGCATAAATATAAAATTCTTCCATCATGTAAATGGCTAAAACATTCAACAGCAAGTATAACATGTTGCGTGATGTCTCAAGCAAAAAAGATTTCAAAGCACTGAGTAAAGCCTGTGTTTAACTTTTTTTCTTTTTTACTTAAAGGAAAATAAGCAAAACTAAATAAAGAAAAGTGCCATGAGAAAGTAATATAGACCACTCAAATGATGAAAACACAAACTTTTGGATTCACTGCTAATCTAAAAAAGCCAATTGACAGTAGTATCAGTATCATTAAATATTATTAGTATTAGTATAAATAATATTAGTATTTATCATATCAGTGCAAACTATATAGCTCGTCTCATTAAGAGCAAACCTGTCTTGAACGCATCAGCAATAAGAAAGCTCCTACTGCCGTGGTGTTCTCATTGACCAGACTGTTTAGACTCTGAAAGGTTTTTGTACACATCTGTTGGTTTTCTGACTGTGTTTACCTGGTACAGTAATACACAGCAGTGTATTCATGCTGCAATTCACTGTGCTGCTGGAAGAATCAGATGCAGATTAAGAATAAATTGTAATCAAATAAAGTTCCCACATATCTTCAGAAAAGACAATTTCTGTAAAACACCTGTAAAACTGAAAATAACTTTGTCTTTTAAGACAAGCTATAACTTTAGGAAGACATTTCTATTGTGTTTAGTAGTGTGAATCTGAACTGATGTCAGGTTTTCTGTGCTCTTAATGATGCAGTCACACACAAGGTACAACCTGTACAGGTCACTAACACACACATTATCAATTATCCCAATCCTGGAATACTGCAGCAGAACCCATGCTGGCACAGGGCGATCATGCAAACTCCACACATAAGAGTCCAGGCTAATTAGCGTATTCTATATGCTGTATTTTACATGCTTTTATTCATTGTAATGTTACCACATGACAACAACCGAAATTCAAATCACTGAGATCAGATTGTTTTTGTCTTATTCCAGTGTTTGACAGTATTTATGTGACAATATTTGATACCCTGAATGAAAACATATTGGGAATAAAATAAACACCACAAAATAAGTCAGTAGTATTTCACAAGTTATGTTATTATTGAACTTTGATTTTGATGTTATTTAACTTTTCTAGTCTTTTGGTTTCTTTGTTAGAGTTCTGGGCCCTGTTCCAGGAAGCCGGTTTAGTGGAAAAACTGAGTAAGTATACCCTGAGTTAACGAAAACTCTGGGT